CCGTTTCCATCCGTTTTCCATCCATTTACATCTGTTTTCATCCGTTTACATCCATTTTCGTCTATTTACATCTGTTTTTCATCCGTTTACATCCATTTTTGTCTGGTTACATCCATTTTTCATCTTTTTATGTCCTTTTACATTTGTTTACATTTGTTTTTCTCTGTTTACATTTGTTTTTGTCCGTTACATCAGTTTTCATCCATTTACATCTGTTTTTGTCTGTTTACATCCATTTTCGTCTATTTACATCTGTTTTTCATCCGTTTACATCCACTTTCATCTGGTTACATTTGTTTTTCATCCGTTTTTGTCCTTTTTCATTTGTTTACATTTGTTTTTTCTGTTTACATTCGTTTTTGTCTGTTACATCAGTTTTCATCCATTTACATCTGTTTTTTGTCAGTTTACAGCTGTTTTTTGCCGGTTACGTTTTTTTTTTAACAGAAGGAAAATAGGGTTTTGTTTTTTTTTTAAACAGATGTTAACGGATGCGGACATTAATGGATGTAAACATATGTTCATCTATTTTTCATCCGTTTACATCCATTTTCATCCGTTTGTATTCATTTTTGTCCCTTGACATCCGTTTTTCATCCATTTACATACGTTTTTGTCAGTTTACATTTGTTTTTGTCCGTTTACATACATTTTCATCTATTTTAATCCAGTTCTTTTTTGTGTGTTTTACATCTGTTTCTTGTCCGTTTGCATCCCTTTTTCGTCCTTTCCAATTTTTTTAACAGAAGAAAAATAAAATTTTTTTTTCCGGTCAAAAAAACAGATGTTAACGGATCCGGATATTAACGGATGTAAACAGATGATCATCTATTTTTCATCAGTTTACATCCACTTTTCATACATTTTTCATCAGTTTTTTGTCCGTTTACATCCGTTTTTTCCACTGGTTACATACATTTTTTGTCCGTTTAAATCTGTTTTAATCTGTTTTAATCTGTTTTCATCCATTTACATACGTTTTTGTCTGTTTACATCCATTTTTCATGTTTTCCATTCGTTTCCATCCATTTCCATCTGTTTTCGTCCCTAAACATCCATTTTTCTCCATTTACATCAGTTTTTTTTGTCTCTTTACACCCGTTTTCATCCATTTACATCTGTTTTTGTTTGTTTACAACCGTTTTTTTGTCCATTTACATCCGTTTTTTTCATCTATTCCGTTTTTTTTTTTTAACGGAAGACAAATCGTCCATTTAAAAAAAAATGGACGCTACATTCATAGAAATACATGGGCATCCGTTTTTTTTATTTCATAAACGGACAGAGGAAAAACGGAAATACGGAATGCCCGTGTGGAAGGAACCTTAGGCTAGACTCACAAGTTGCGCTGTAATAATGCAGTTTTGTCTGGTAAATGGTATGTGGTTTTGTGCATTGGCTGTAAAAAATAAAAATTAACCCTGTCAGGTGGTCACATGGTATACTGCAGACAGGGGCGGACTGACAACTCATGGGGCCCCCGGGCAATAGGAGATCATGGGGCCCCTGTGTCCTTGCCCAAACTCAAAAAAGGATATGAAAAAGGTACCAGGGTCATCTCATGGGGCCCCCTACTGACCCCGAGCTCTCGGGCAGTGCCCGAGTTTCTAAATGGTCAGTCCGCCCCTGACTGCAGATAAATGCATTACCGTTTACGGATATATAAAGCCAATATTTTTTAGTATTGGATACAGTAGGGAATGAATAAAACCCAAATGCGAAATTTCCCATCATTGAAACTCTGGTGATGAGGACAAAGTAGTTGGAAACCCTTGCATGAACCCAATGAAGTGACTGGCCTCAGGTGATACACAGAGATGAAACAAATCCCCCTACATAAGTTGTACCTCTTTATCTACAGTCTTCTCTTCTCTACAGCTGTTCAAAGTCCAGATTTTATACAGCTTGTCTGAGCTTTCAGAAAGCAGGGGGTAGACAGCTGAAGTTACACACTGCAGATCTCAATGAGGGGAGCTCTGAGAGCTGATTGGAGAGCAGGGACATGCCCCCCCCCTTCACAGAATTCACAGGAACAAAGTTGTCAATCTCAGGAGCTCCCTCCCCGTTATAATTTTTCCCTTGGTGTCAGGAAAACTTGTCAGAAGTGACTCATGCTGATAGCTGAGGAGCAAAGCAGCAGTCAGAAATGACATTTAGTACTCTGGATTGAGACACGTACAGGGGCGGACTGACAACTCATGGGGCCCCCGGGCAATAGGGGATCATGGGGCCCCTGTGTCCTTGCCCAAACTCAAAAAAGCCTATGAAAAAGGTACCAGGGGCATCTCATGGGGCCCCCTACTGACCCTGGGCCCTCGGGCAGTGCCTGAGTTTCCAAATGGTCAGTCTGCCCCTGGACATATACACACAATAGAGGGATGTGCTTTGTTCATATTTCATGTATGAGGCATATAATGGATTTTAAAGAAGGGGAAAAAAACCTAGTGGGGACATTTCTGCTCATTTTTGGCTTTGAATCTAACAAACTTTATTGCCAAAATCACAAAGCCAGACTCTAGTCTAGCACATTGCACCCTACCAGACCCTCTCCTGCTCATCCAACACATTTCACCCCCAATAGGTGCTTAGTCATAAAATTGGATGTTTTATTGGGGTGAAACGTCTCTCATAGATGTATGTCAATTGCATATTTATCTATTTGCCTGGAATTCAGCCTTCAAGTGGTACTAAAGGCAAAATAAAAATGGCATATATAAAGCAGTCTGTCGCTGGCATTATCAAAGCAGTCTTTGTATCCTCTGTTACATAGTTTTATTGCCTGGTGATCCGGCCAGTAAGTGTGTTATTTTCTTACTGCCTTTAACCTCCCTGGCGGTTTTCCAGCAAGTGTAGCTCGGGGTTAGAGTTTCAGTACCAATAGCGGTAACCCCGAGCTACACTCAGGCTTACCATGCGGCGCTGCATAGGGAGTCCCTGCAGAGCTTACCTTGTCCTTCGCTCCCGCAATGTGTCCCCTGCAGCGTCCCCGGCCATCTCCTCCGGCCGATGCCGGCATCTGGCCTCCGTGTTCCGGTCCCTGTGACGTCGGGACGTACGGGCGCCGGAACCAGCGGGGGAAATTTGAAAATTTAAAAAAAATGACTTTTTTTTAAAAACGATTATTTCATAGCAAAACATTCCTGTATCAAACCATTTCACATACATTTTGTCCCGACTGCTTTGTCCGGCGCCCTGCCTGCATTTTGACTGTTCTTTCTGTCTGGAAAAAGAGAAAAGTCCACGGCGTCCAAAAAGCGTCCCTTTAGGTCAAAATCGGTTTTAGACCGGCTAGAGAACAGCGATAGTAAATCAGAACAACTTGCAGAATTGAGTGATAATGATTCGTGGGGAAATTCGTCATCAGACACTGAAAACGATTTTGCGACTTTGCTCAGTGATGTGCGAACTTGGCGCTATATTTCAAATTTCAGTGTTTTTGGTTTGATTATATTATTGAATTAAATTTATTATTATTATATTATTATTTTTTATGATTATTTATTAAATTATAATTTATGATTTCGTGTTTCAAGTTTTATCATATCCGGGATGTTTACTAGACTCTTGTTCGGACAGATTTCAGTAAGTTATTCCTAAATTACAGGCCTGCAATAAAAAAATACATATTTCCATGCAAAAAATATGGTACCGCTTTTGGTACAAATTCCTGACATAATCATACCGCTAGGGAGGTTAATGGACCAAGCTGTCCAGCAAAAATGGCAGTTAAAAGGTGGATACAAATAATTTACCACTGGCAGAGTTGCTTACAATAGAAACCTAAAAAAGTGATGGCAGAAAAAGACCGAGTGGTCCATTGAGTCTGCCCTTTTTTTTATTATTATTATTATTATTATTATTATGTTGTTTTTTTCCTTTTTTTTGTTTGTTTTATTAATTTGTTTTGTCTGAGTATAGATCTGCACTTGTCCCAAGCATGTTTGAAGCTATTTGCTGTTGACTGGCTCACTACCTTTGCTGGAAGTTTATTCCAAGCATCAACTACTCTTTCAGTAAAATAGTACTTTCTGAGATTAGTTTTGAACTTTCCTCCAGTTAGTTTAAGGTCATGTCCCGTGTTCTTGATTTTGGTTTCATGCAGAAAATAAGGCCCTCCTGAACCTTATTCACCCCCTTGATGTATTTAAAGTGTTACTAAACCCAAAACAGTAAAATCAGTCTGTATATGCAGTAAAGCATGCTTGTTATAATCATGCTTGTTATAATCACTGTGGAACCTAAGGGGTTAATCCTCTGCATTGTTTAAAAATCCTGTCTTTGATCCTGTCTTCTCAGATCCTCCCCTTCTTCCAGTGCCCCCCTCTTATCTCCTGACAAGACATATAGGGGTTGATTTACTAAAGGCAAATAGACTGTGCACTGCAGAGCTTAGTAAATGAGGTAAAGCTTCACTTTGCAAAGAATAACCAATCACATGCAAGGAAAAAAAAAAATAGCATTTTTGCTTGCACGTGATTGGCTGGTGAAAGTCAGAAGAGCTTCTGCCCATTTACTAAGCTCTGGTGCAACTGCTGTTGCAGAGTGCAACTGTGATTTGCATAGTGCACAGTCTAATTGCCTTTAGTAAATCAACCCCTAATGAAGACACTATGCACATGCTCAGTTAGATGTGTATTGATAGAGAGGTTTTTTTTTTTTTTTTTCCTTTCTTGGGAGAGTGCATGTGATCAGCACAGGGCCAATCAGCACTGTCCACACAGAGGTCAGAGGTTCTGCATCCTGTTAGAACAGAAAGAAAACTCCTCCTACAAGCTTTAACCAGTGCTCAGCTGGCCATTGATAGAAGTCCCAAGACTGCTCTAGCTTCTGAGGAGAAAAGGTATTTAGCAGTTTATATTTACTAAAATAATTGCATTTCCATATAAAAATCAATATGCAGCGCTAAAAATTACCAATGGTTAAAACCCATGTTGGAATGATAACAAATTCTTTCGATATAATGAAGGTATTCAAAGAGAAATAAAACAGGTGGGGAGTAGTCTCCCTGGACCCTGCATTCACTATATCTGGTCTCCCCGGACCCTGCATTCACTATATCCGGTCTCCCCGGACCCTGCATTCACTATATCTGGTGTCCCCGGACCCTGAATTCACTATATCTGGTCTCCCTGGTCCCTGTATTCACTATATCTGGTCTCCCCAGACCCTGCATTCACTATATCCGGTCTCCCCGGACCCTGCACTCACTATATCTGGTCTCATCCCTGACCCTGCATTCACTATATCCGGTCTCCCAGGACCCTGCATTCACTATATCTGGTCTCCCCAGACCCTGCACCACTATATCTGGTCTCCCCAGACCCTGCATTCACTATATCTGGTCTCCCCCGGTCCCTGCATTTACTATATCTGATCTCTAAGACCCTGCATTCACTATATCTGGTCTCCCCAGACCCTGAATCCACTATATCTGGTCTCCCACAGTACACATAACATGGAAATGCAATTAAAACAAGAGTAAAATGAGACGCTGGACCTGGAAATATAAAGTAGCTCGCATGAAAGGCAAAAACCCCTAAACCTTCTGAAAAACATATAAAAATCAACATGCAGCGCTAAAAATACCAATGGTTAAAACCCATGTTGGAATGATAACAAATTCTTTCGATATAATGAAGGTATTTAAAGAGAAATAAACAGGTGGGGAGTAGTCTCAATATTATAATTAAAGAACACTCCAACGTGTATTTTGCGTTATATGGATGAATAACAAAGTTATAATAAAATGATATCTCAGTGCATATGGTGAGGTGGCAATCAATCCGTGATGGTCATTGAACATCCGTGATGACGATGGTGAAATAAACAGATGTAGATTGCACTAACCAGATAGCGCATGGAAATGCGCCTTTGAGTATTTAAACCAACTCCTGGTCATCCGCATCTAAACGTCTGGAGCACAGGGTCATCTGGTGGGCATCAACAGGATCTACAGCACATCATCAAGGCTTCCAGGGAGCAGGAGTACAGTCAAACAGACACCAGGGGGAGTCAGCACTCACCGTATGGAAACTCCAAGGGTCTCCCTTAGGAAGGAGGGCTCATAACAAAGTGAGCCCAAACAGAGAGATTTCCATAGTGCAGTATGCTTTGTTATAATGATAGTTAGATAATGTTATAATTAAATGAACTCACATTCGAAATGACAAAAACAGTATCAAATATGGCTGCCAGGCTATTCAGAGAACCACGTGGTGATGTCACTGAGGGCAGATTTCAGACATGTTTCGTGCACTCGTATCATTATGGACGTCTTGGTGGATCCCGTAATAGAACAGCCCCATGCATGTGCACCTGAGTGTCTCCATCTGTGAAAATATGGAAGATTGCCCTGGTGTGGCCAAGTTAGATATGTAATGCCTGCCTTTTCACATCCTCCCGGTTCACACCAATGCAAATCCTCCCGGTTCACTGCAAATCCTGTGCATTTCCCGCACAGTATTGCAATCACATTGCGTTCATGCAATCTGGTGCAGGTGTAAAAAAGTATAAAAAGTCTACACACCCCTGTTAAAATGTCAGGTTTCTGTGATGTTAAAAAATCAAAGATAAATCATTTCAGAACTTTTTCCACCTTTAATGTGACCTATAAACTGTACAACTCAGTTGAACAAAAAAACTGAATTCTTTTAGGTGGAGGGAAGTAAAAATAAAAAAACTAAAATAATATGGTTGCATAAGTGTGCACACCCTTTAAACTAATACTTTGTTGAAGCATCTTTTGATGTGATTCCAGCACTCAGTCTTTTGGGTATGAGTCTATCAGCATGGCACATCTTGACTTGGCAATATTTGCCCACTCTTCCTTGCAAAAACACTCCAAATCTATCAGACTGTGAGGGCATCTCCTGTGCACAGCCCTCTTCAGATCACCCCACAGATTTTTGATCGGATTCAGGTCTGGGCTCTGGCTGGGCCATTCCAAAACTTGAATCTTCTTCTGGTGAAGCCATTCCTTTGTTGATTTGGATGTATGCTTTGGGTCGTTGTCATGCTGAAAGATGACGTTCCTCTTCATGTTCAGCTTTCTAGCAGAAGCCTGAAGGTTTTGTGCCAATATTGACTGGTATTTGGAACTGTTCATAATTCCCTCCACCTTGACTAAGGCCCCAGTTCCAGCCCCAAACCATGATGCTGCCACCACCATGCTTCACTGTGGGTATGGTGTTCTTTGGTGATGTGCAGTGTGGTTTTTGTGCCAAACATATCTTCTGGAATTATGGCCAAAAAGTTCACCTTTGGTTTCATCAGACCATAACACATTTTCCCACATGCTTTTGGAAGACTTTAGATGTGTTTTTTTGCAAAATCTAGCCGGGTTTGGATGTTTTTCTATGTAAGAAAAGGCTTCCGCCTTGCCACTCTACCCCATAGCCCAGACATGGATGAAGAGTACAGGAGATTGTTGTCACATGGACCACACAGCCAGTACTTGCCAGATATTCCTGCAGCTCCTTTCATGTTGCTGTAGGCCTCTTGTCAGCCTCCCAGACCAGTTTTCTTCTTGTCTTTCATCAAATTTTGGAGGAACGTCCAGTTCTTGGTACTGACACTGTTGGGCCATATTTTCTCCACTTGATGATGACTGTCTTCACTGTGTTCCATGGTATATCTAATGCCTTGGAAATTCTTTTGTACCCTTCTCCCGACTGATACTTTTAACAATGAGATCCTTCTGATGCTTTGGAAGCTCTCTGTAGACCATGGCTTTTGCTGTAAGATGTGACTAAGAAAATGTCAGGAAAGACCTACTAGAACAGCTGAACTTTATTTGGGGTTAATCAGAGGCATGTGTGTACTGACTCCTATTTAACATGATTTTGAAATGTGATTGCTTAATGCTGAACACAGCTACATCCCCAGTTATAAGAGGGTGTGCACACTTATGCAACCGCATTATTTTAGTTTTTTAATGTTTACTTCCCCCCTAAAAGATTTCAGTTTGTTTTTCAATTGAGTTGTACAGTTTATAGGTTACATTAAAGTCCTGAAATTAGTTATCTTTCTGTCAATTTTGTACATCACAAAAACCTGACATTAGAACAGGGGTGTGTAGACTTTTTATACCCACTGTATGTTCTTATTTGATATCCATAAAGTAGCGCATTTATATCCAGTTTTCAAGTCAGTAGAAAAACATTTACTTAAAATTAAAAAAATCCTTATTACCATGTTATAATGCCAGGATTGTCTTTTAACTAAGAAAAAAAGGTTATTGCAAAAAAAAAAAAGAAAAATGAAAGTGTAGGCAGAAATTAAATGAGCAATTATTACCCCCAAAATCCCCCACCTGCTGGGAAAGCTCATAATTATACTAATGTATCGTATATTACTGACCTTTGAAGGGAGACCTGTGTGACAAGTGTGGTTGAACCCGGAATAAAAAGCATTTTTTTAAGTCACAAAGCGTTAGCATCAAGAATGCCTGTAGATTTGTTGATGCCTTCCTCTAAAATGTTATACAATATATGGGGTCCTGATGTGAAATAACAGGCCCAGAAAAAAAAAACAGACCAGTGCAAAAGCTGACCACACACATTGCAATGGGAGTACATAATGTACTAAATGTAGGCTGAAGGTACATGAATCTTTCTCCTCCTGTCAGCATGCTCCGTGTCAGAAAATGGGAATGTGGTATATTGTCACAAGTCAGCCTGCTGGTTTCCTGCCACTTTATAATCAGGTGCAGCAAACAGTTTGTTTTTTTTTCCTTTTGGGATAAAGGTTTTACATAAATAACATTTGATCATTGTAAGCACCCCTGTCAATGGTAAATGGTTTGTCTCATCCCCAAAACTGATACATCTGCAGGAGAGCTTGTTTTTTTGAAAAACAACAGACACAATGGCTGGAGCACCAGATAAAAATAAAGAAAGGAAAGCCTAAAAAAGAAAACTAATGCAGCCATCAGATCTAAGAAAGCATGTAAATGTGTGGTCAGTTTCCAAGCTTTTTTTTTTTTACCATAAATACTTTTTTTTAATCAAGTCATTTTAAAGGTCTTTCCAGGACAAAACAGATATATATATATATATATATATATATATATATATATATATACACACACAAAGCCCACTCCCACCCATCAGCTTTTTTCTGCTGCTCCGGGACATACTGGCCCTGTTTTGTTTTTATTCCGCCTGTAAATGCTCCTGCCACTAAAAAACTTCTAAAAATCTATGGGGTTTATTTACTAAGGCTGGAGAGTGCAAAATCGGGCTCACTTCTGCATAGAAACCAATCAGCTTTTAACCTCAGCTTGATCAATTATTTATTTATTCATTTATTTCAGGTACTTATATATCTCGCCGTCAATTTACACAGTGCTTTACATATATATTGTACATTCACATCAGTCCCTAACCCTCAAGGGGTGTACAATCTAAGGTCCCTAACTCACATTCATACATACACATACTGGGCAAATATTTAGACAGGAGCCAATTAACCTACCAGCATGTCTTTTGGAGTGTGGGGAGGAAACTGGAGTACCCGGAGGAAACCCACGTAGAGACACAGGGAGAACATGCAAACTCCAGGCAGGAGTTGAATTAAGCTTTGGCAATAAAATCTGGAAGCTGATTGGTTTGTATGCAGAAGTGGGCCTGATTTTGCTGTCAGCAGCTTTAGAAAATAAACATTGACACATAGCATTTCAGTGACCTGAAAGATGGTATCTAGGCCATGAAGAAACTAATTTTCCTAATTATAATTTATGTAAAATTAGTCGGATGTATGTAAAAGGTTCAAGTATATTGACAGGACCTTAATAAAGTGACTTAGGAAACTGAGCAGATAGGTATTATCATGTTTAAAGTACACTGTATTGCCAAAAATATTGGGCTGCCTGCCTTTACACGTACATGAACTTTAATTTTGCATCCCAATCTTGGTCCGTAGGGTTCAATATTGAGTTTGGCCCCCTGCCCACGTACATTTTAATGCAGCTATAACAGGGTTCAACTTTGCAGCTATAACAGCTTCTGGGGGAAGGCTGTCCACAAGGTTTAGGAGGGTGTCTATGGGAAGGTTTGACCATTCTTCCAGAAGCACATTTGTGAGGTCAGGTACTGATGTCGGACAAGAAGGCCTGGCTCACAGTCTGCGCTCTAATTCATCCCAAAGGTGTTCTATGGGGTTGAGGTCAGGACTCTGTGCAGGCCAGTCAAGTTCCTCCACCCCAAACCTGCTCATCCATGTCTTTATGGACCTTGCTTTGTGCACTGGTGCGCAGTCATGTTGGAACAGGAAGGGGCCATCCCCAAACTCTTCCCACAAAGTTGAGAGCATGAAATTGTCCAAAATGTCTTGGTATGTTGATTCCTTAAGAGTTCCCCATTCACTGAAACTAATGGGGCCAAGCCCAACCCCCTGTGTCCTTGCCCACACTCAAAAAAGCAACCCCATTTCAATATAATCCCCCTCCACCAAACTTTACACTTGCAGTTGGCACAGTGCAGTCAGG